GTGATAGTCGTCCTCTGCCATTATATTCTTTCTTTAGCCAACATATCACTGATTTTTGGACCTATCAGGCTAGCATGTGCACATGCTAGACTCGGATACAGGTGGACGCGGACAGCAGGGTTATACAGGTGGCAGACAAGGTAAGTATTCTCTCTGCACGACTTGGCTATTACTGAGCTAATTTTGCACTAGCTCATAGAAATCCGGCTATGCTGATCTCTCCACCATGTCCCTCATAACTATCAAGTCCAATACCGCTTCCCAGGCTGAGTAGGGTGACCACTGCTGAAGAGCCTGGCACTTAGGTGTGAGTACTGCCTTCTCTGTTGTTACCATGAATAGCTCTAACTCATGCTGCAGATGTACTCTTGTGCTTACTGTTTATGCTGCCGAAGTTGTGATGAGTATATGACTATGAGAGGGAGGTGTAGCATACCAACATGTACCTAACATAATATATGTTTAAATATATGTTTTCCCTCATTAACATCTATGGTGCGATTGTGTGCGCCACGCCCCTGAAAGTGGTAACAATCTACTCGCACCTACAAACAAGCTACTGCCATACTGCGGTGAACTACTGAGCAAAGGCGGGTAGCTACTGGTGCCACGGAGGCGCAGCGAGAGCCACAGAGGGCTGCCGAATCGGGTACCATTCTACCAGTCTACCAGAACCCCGCAGCACCCGGAGCGCTGTGTGGCGCTGGCGTTTTTCCCTGATGGCCTGTGGGGCAGACCTTTGAGCTGACCATCGGATACCGTCTAGCCCGGTTCAGGATATCCTGCACTTTCTCTCATACTCACACATCCTGCGATGGACTCCAAGTTAGTCTATCGTGCCCTGCGACAAATTTCACAGTGGACTGTAGACGGGTTCTACTCAGAAGTTCGCGTCTCTGGGCAAGAGAACGTACCAGCAACGGGCCCTCTGATTGTGTAGGTTTTAATGGGCTAGTGTAACGGTCCTGCTGAAGTCTCACTCACGACTCGGATTCCTACAGCACGCCATGCCATCACAATGAAATTCTGGATATCGCAACTCTCGGTGAACAGCGCGCGTGTATCAGGAATGTAGGTACAACTGCTGACAGACTACCTTCAGCTGTCACGATGCCGCACAGGAGGCCGGTGTGCTTTTGGGCGAAGTCGACAATGTTCGCGAACTCCATCGCCAAGACTATCATGACGTCTTCTGGCAGCATTCCAGTCCGTCGCAACCCGAACAACAGCTCCAATGCAGGCGACAAGAAGAAGCATGGATCAGAGAGCAATTTCGCATTATTTAGGGAGACTTTCCGCGCGTTGGACAAGGGAGAGGTCGTCGGGGTCTTCCCGGAAGGTACGAGCTACACGGAGCCCCACATTGCTCAGATCAAGGAAGGAGCCGCCTGGGCTGCTTTGGAGCACGCTCGGTGGCAGATGCAGCACACATCAGAGTACAAGGAGGGCGGTCCGGAGAAGCTGATGGTAGTCCCTGTCGGGATTATCTATACCGACAAGTCGCACTTCCAAAGCCAGGTGAGCAAAAAGTGCTTCGATCCTCGATGTGGCCTCACCGGTCCCGTACAGGTCTTGGTGCAGTACGGCAAACCGATAGACACTGAACCATACGCCCAGCGGTATCTTGCGAGCAACGACCCTCACGCGGAAGTTAAAGAGCTGACAGCTGAAATAGAGACCAGGCTGACGAAGTTGACTGTAAACGCCAAAGACTGGTGCGTTGCCCCATTCGCGCGCCTGTGACTCTAACTTACAAGCTCATCAGGGACCATTGCTTCGCCGGCACTATGGCTAGAGAAATATACCATCCTGAACTGGAGCTATTTACACGAGACAACTATGTCGACCTCTCCCAAGCGTAGGTCGTTCCACACTCCGCATCCGTGGCCGGTAATGCAGCTTTCATACAGTCTCATGGATCGCTTCGATGACGGGAATAGCCAAGAAGCTGTAACAAAGCTCGTGAAATACTCCGGCATTCTGTACCACGCTGGCATCTCGCACGGCTCTCTTGTGGCCCTTTATTCAAGTTCTGAGAAGCCTTCCCGCGCAGTCAGCATCGGCGTATTCCTGCGTGAAGCCATCACGACGGTACTGCACCCACGCTTCCTATGCTTCTTCCCCATCGGCCTCCTGCATATCCCAGCTTACATTGTCGGCTCGTGCGCAGCACGCTTCCTTGCAGACCCTCAGGAACCGGAGACTCTTGCAGAGCGCAAGGCCGTATGTGGCGGAGTGACCTTTGGTGCGACGGCCGCGCTTTTGGGCAGGAGCATCACGCGTGCTGTATACGAGATCATCTTCGCCTCTCTGCAGTACGGCCGCCTGAGTCGGCTTCCGATATTGATAACAAAGGTTTGCTCGTGGTTGTTTGATGTAGGGCAAAGATCGAGCGCCGCCGCATTCCTCAGACTACTGGGCATGATTTCTGTTATCTACTGGACTACCTGGTTGCTATTCCGCTGGCACAGAGCCCTTATCCAA